CTAGTTAAGCATGTAGAAAGCTAGCACATGAGAGAGCTAGGCCGAAGCCATTTTCCCCAAGCCCGGGATTCTCCTCCAGAGTTGTACCACTTGCACTATCTACATGTGTCAGAAGCGATGCCACTGAGAAGTGTGGTGATTTAAAGCCGTGCCACCAATCTCAGTTGATAGGGCACAAAATTTCTACAGCAGATATTCCCCTCACAGAGCTTCAATTCCCAGAGTGGTTTAACAACCAATCCTTCTTCCTAGGGAACTCTGAGAACTGTAGCTCTGGAAGAGGAATAGGGGTCTCCTAGCAACTCTCAGCATCCTTAACTACAGTTCCCAGGATTCTTTGAAGGAAGCCATGACTGTTGAAAGTGGTTTGATACTATTTCAAATATATAGTGTAATTGAGGCCTTAGAGTGATCAGATACTGTCACGATTTTGCAAAGTTTTTTGCAGATAAAATCACTTATATTCGGAGGGAGCTAGACACCACTGTGGGAGCAGGGCTGGGACGGGAGAGTGCTAGAGCCCTGTCTGGTCAAGTTGCATGGAATCGATTTCAATCCGTTACCCCTGAGGATGTGGACAGGCTGCTTGGACGCGTGAAACCAACCACCTGTCTCCTTGATCCTTGCCCATCCTGGCTAATAAAAGCAAGCCGGGAAGGGCTGGGCGATGGGCTCTGTGGGGTGGTGAATGCTTCCTCTCTGAGGGAACATTCCCAGATCCGCTGAAAGAGGCGGTCATTAAACCGCTTCTTAAAAAAACCATCTTTAGACCCAGCCAGTATGGCCAACTATCGCCCAGTCTCAAATCTTCCATTCTTGGGCAAGGTGATTGAGCGCGTGGTTGCTGAACAACTCCAGGCACGCCTGGAGGATGCGGACCATTTGGATCCCTTCCAAGTGGGATTCAGGCCTCATCATGGGACTGAAACTGCCTTGGTCGCACTGGTTGATGATCTCCGGCAAGCTAGGGACAAAGGTGAGAGTTGTTTCCTAGTTCTGCTGGATCTCTCAACGGCTTTTGATACAATCAACCATAACATCCTTCTGGACCGTCTAGAGGGGCTGGGAGCTGGGGGCACTGTTATACAGTGGTTTCGCTCCTTCCTCCTGGGCTGTGTTCAGAAAGTGGTGGTGGGAGATGAGTGTTCAGACCCCTGGGCCCTCACTTGTGGGGTGCCTCAGGGTTCTGTCGTCTCCCCCATGCTTTTTAACATCTACATGAAGCCGCTGGGAGAGATCATCAGGGGGTTTGGACTGGGTGTCCATCAATATGCAGATGATACCCAGCTCTACCTCTCTTTCAAATCAGAACCAGTGAAGGTGGTGAAGGTCCTGTGTGAGTGCCTGGAGGCGGTTGGAGGATGGATGGTGGCTAATGGATTGAAGTTGAATCCTGACAAGACAGAAGTACTGTTTTTGGGGGACGGGGCGGGCTGGTGTGGAGGACTCCCTGGTCCTGAATAGGGTAACTGTGCCCCTGAAGGACCAGGTGCGCAGCCTGGAAGTCATTTTGGACTCACAGCTGTCCATGGAGTCACAGGTCAATTCTGTATCCAGGGCAGCTGTCTACCAAATCCACCTGGTACGCAGGCTGAGACCCTGCCTGCCCGCAGACTGTCTCGCCGGAGTGGTGCATGCTCTAGTTATCTCCCGCTTGGACTACTGCAATGCGCTCTACGTGGGGCTACCTTTGAAGGTGACTCGGAAACTACAACTAATCCAGAATGCGGCAGCTAGACTGGTGACTGGGGGTGGCCGCCAAGACCACATAACACCGGTCTTGAAAGACCTACATTGGCTCCCAGTACGTTTCCGAGCACAATTCAAAGTGCTGGTGTTGACCTTTAAAGCCCTAAATGGCCTCGGCCCGGTATACCTGAAAGAGCATCTCCACCCCCATCGTTCTGCCCGGACGCTGAGGTCCAGCACCGAGGGCCTTCTGGCGGTTCCCTCATTGCGAGAAGCAAAGCTACAGGGAACCAGGCAGAGGGCCTTCTCGGTAGTGGCGCCCACCCTGTGGAATGCCCTCCCATCAGATGTCAAAGCGATAAACAACTACCTGACATTCAGAAGACATCTTAAGGCAGCCCTGTTCAGGGAAGTTTTTAATGTGTGATATTTTAGTGTATTTTTGGTTTCTATGGAAGCCGCCCAGAGTGGCTGGGGAGGCCCAGCCAGATGGGTGGGGTACAAATAATAAATTATTATTATTATTATTATTATTATTATTATTATTAGTCCTTGTTTAGAAGGATATTGACAAGCTGTAACATGTGAAGAGGAGGACAATCAAGATGATCAAGGGTCTGGAAACCAAGCCTTACCAGAAAGTACTTTGTGATGGTAAGAGTTGTTTGACAGTGGAATGGACTCCCTCAGGATGTGGTGGACTCTCCTTCCTTGGAGGTTTTTTTTTTTTATTAAAGTACAAATTAGAAAACATATATATTCACAACAAAAGAAAATACAAAAGAAAAAGAAAATAAATCACACGCAGGAAAATTTATGTTTTCTCCCAAAAAGTTTTCCATCTTTCCAGATCTATCTCATATCCCAAATCGTGCTCCCATTTTAACATGTTTTCCCCTTTCGTCTCTTGTTCTAAGGTGGTTTTCATTAATAATCTATACATTTTTGCAAGTGTTTTTTGATCGCTTTGCAATATTTCCTTTTCTAATTTTGAGGTTTTATTTTCAAATCCCCCCTTTTTATGTCTTTTTCATATGTTGCTTTTAATTGATAATATTGTAACCAATTTATTCCAAATGTTTGTAATTGTTCGTAAGTTTTTAATTTAATATTTCTGTCTGCATCCTCTAATATTTCCCTATATGTTGGCCAAGTCTCTTTTGCATTACTCTTTAATGTTGTGGTTGCTTCCGCTGGTGAAACCCATTGGGGAGTTTTCTCAATAATTTTTGCTTTTGTTCTTTCCCAGACTTCCAATAGAGCCTTTCTTAATATGTGATTTGTAAATTTTTTATGTTGTTCTTTTTTGTCGTAGAATAAATAGCCATGCCAGCCGTATATTTTGTCCCAACCCTCTAGTGTTAGGACTTCATTATCTTTTAATATCCATTTTTTTATCCAACACCAACACGCTGCCTCAAAATACTTTCTTAAATCTGGCACTGCAAATCCTCCACTTTCCTTTGGGCCCATCATTACTTCTAATTTTATCCCTGCCTTTTCCCCCTGCCATATAAAATTTCCAAGATCTCTTTGCTAGCTTATAAAATATTCAGTTCCTATTACAATTGGAATCGTTTGAAATAAAAATAGAATTTTGGGGAGTGTCATCATTTTAATCATAGATATTCTTCCTCCTAATGATAATTTTAGTTTTCCCCATTTATCAATACTTCCTTTAATTTCTTTCCGTTTTTTCATATAATTATCCTTAAATAAATTTGTATTTTTATTTGTAATCCATATCCCTAAGTAGTTCACTTCATTTTTTATTTTTAGTCCTGTTGTTTCCTCTAATTCCTTTTTCCTTTTCTCGCCTATATTTTTAGTTATCAATTTTGATTTATCTTTGTTCAATTTGAATCCTGCTACTTTGCCAAATTCTTTCATTCTTTCTAATGCTTTTTTATACTTTCTTTTGGTGTTTTGGTTGTAATGATCACATTGTCTGCAAATGCTCTTACTTTGTAACACTGTGTACCAAGACATATGCCCTTTATTTCTTCGTCCTTTCTCAGAGCTATTAATAGGGTTTCTAATATTGTTATAAATAGGAGTGGGGATAAAGGACATCCCAGTCATGTCCCTCTCTCGATGTCGAATTCTTCTGTAATTTTGTTGTTTAGGATTAATTTGGCTCTTTGTTTTTTGTAAATTGCTTGAATTCCATTCAAAATTCTTTTACCTAAATTTAGACTTTCACAGGTTTTGATCATAAATTTCCAAGAGACACTGTCAAATGCCTTTTCAGCGTCTACCAAAAGCATTGAAATTTCTTTACTTGGATTCATTTCGGCATATTCTATTAAGTCTATAATTCTTCTAGTGTTGTCCTTTATTTGTCTGGCTGGCAAAAATCCTACCTGATCTTTTTTAATTACCCTTTTTAGCAGAGTTTTCATTCTATTTGCAAGAACTCCAGTAAATATTTTATAGTCTATATTCAATAAAGATATTGGCCTTTAGTTTTTTATAAGTCTCAAATCCTTACCTTGTTTTGGGATAAGGGTTATCAATGCTTCTTGCCACGAATTGGGTTATTTCTCCTTTGTCTAAAATATCATTCATAATTAATTGTAATTTGGGTGTTATTATTTCCTCTAATTTTTTATAATATGTTACTGAAATTCCATCTGGTCCCGGCAATTTCCCCATCCTTCATATTTTTAATCACTTTTTTAATCTCTTCAAGTTCAATATTTGAATTTAAAATTGCATATTCTTCTTCTATATATGGTATTCTATTTTCTAATAGGTATTTTTGGATTTTCTTTTCCTCTTTCAATTCTACTTTATATAAATTTTTGTAATATTTTATAAATCTTTCTTTGATTTGTTTTGGGTCAATAATTTCTTTTTCTTTGTCAATAATTCTATTTATTACTCTTTCAACCTGTATTTCCTTAATGAACCATGCCAGCATCCTACCCGGTTTATTTGCTTGTTCAAAATATCTTTGTTTTGTCCATGTAATTTTTTTCTCAACTTCTCTATTTATTAAATTTGATAGGTGGGCTTGTAAGTTCTTTATTTGTTGGAGGATATCTTCATTTTTTGGGTTTTTCACTAAATCTTTTTTTTCCTCTCTTATTTATTTATTTCCATAATATTATCTTTATTTCTCCTTATCCTTCCCATTTGTTGTATTACATGCCCTCTTATATAGGCTTTACTCGCTTCCCAAATCATTTTTTTATCCGTATCCTGATTGTCATTTATTTCATAGAATTCTTTCAATATTTCCTTAGCCCTTTTAATTTTTTAAATAATATTTTTATTAATTTTAACATATAAATTATAAAATGTACCACAGAATTTATCACTTATACAATCTTTTTGGACTTCCATCAGCACCTCTGATGATCCACCGTTTTAACCACTTCTTATGCATTTCTTAACTTTATATTGCCTTTACATCTCTTAACAAATCATCCTCCCCCTTATCCATTTTTACAATACTTCTAATAATACTCCTCACAAAACTTCTTGCAACCCTACAAACGTCGTCTGTTCTTCACAATTACCTTTCAAATAGTCCGTAAATTTACTCCAGTCTTCCGTGAATTTCTGGTCTCGCCGGTTTCGAATCCTTCCTGTTAATCTAATTAGCCCTTTTAAAAGGGTCCTTGGAGGTTTTTAAGCAGAGGTTGGATGGCCATCTGTCATGGATGATCTAGTTGAGATTCCTGCATTGCAGGGGTTTGGACTAGATGACCATCAGTGTACCTTCCAACTCTACAATTCTATAATATTTCCTCCCTAACAAATTGTAAGCACTTTATTTTATTTGGGAATGAAGCTGTGAGCAAACCTGTTCTATCACCATGATTAAATTTTGGTACCACCACTAGAGACCAGATAAAATATCTCTAGGGATGGATTTGGTCTGCAGGCTGTCAGTTGACTATTCTTGGTCTATGGAGCTTCCTCCACCTCTATCCTTTCCTCTACTGTTCATCTGGTAGAAAGGATTCATGGTTTAAATCAAGAAGAAAAAAACCAAATCCCTAGCTCAACCGGAGCATGATTTAGCCATCTCAGCACCACATCTTTAAACACAGAATGAAGAACATTGTTTACCTCTACATGTGGTCTTCTGGCAATGGGAGTACTGATCCTTTCTACCAGAGCATCTCCACCTTGAAAAATTTGCCTACAGCATCACCACATCTCCCAAAGTAAGCCTTCACCATTAAAACCATTAAAGCCATTAAAACATTAGATGGTCACTGTAATTAGAACTTCATTCCTAAGTGGGAAAGTGTATTGTGAGAAGGAAAAGGGGAAGTCGGTGCAATCTCTTTATTTCTTCTTCTTTCTTCTTCTTTCTTCTTATTTTTGTTCTGTTTATGAATTAAATTATCTTGAAGAGATTTCACAGTAAAAACATCGGCAGTGAAAACCAATGGGCCCTTTCATGTATGAAACCAACTAAAGGAAGTTTCATGTGCAAAAATAATTTCAGGTCCAATGCAGATACTGGCTGGGCTAAATATCTCCACTTAAAAGGCTTGTTGAAGAAGAAAGGGCCTCCTTAGGCCCTGAAGGACAATGGAGACTGCCCCTGTCTGATATGCAACAAGAGGGACTAGGGCCAACTCATGACATTTTGGCATCTGAGGTGAAGGACACAATGGTGATTCTCCCCCACCAAGGAAGGTGTGTGAAGAAACTTCATCAGGAGCAAGGGTATGGAATAAAGATCTACACCAGGAACAGGAGAGGAGACCAGAAGCATCTGTTGTTCACCAAGAGGCCACTGTAGCAGTGGCATAGCAAGGTGGCTAATGAGGAGGCAGCAGACCCGCCTCCAAGGAGCATGTTGCAGCTGCCACTGTGGCAGCCGCAGCAGTGGGTGATGCATTCCTTGGATGCCTGATCTGCTGCCCCTGTGAATCCTGCTGCCTGAGGCGGTTGCCTCACCTTGTTGCCTCATGGGTAGGCCGGACCTGGGAGGAAGTTCCAAAAGGTAGGTGCCACCATGCTAGAGGCCTGATTCCTGTATCATATGCAATGGACCTCCTGATGAGATCCTTCCCCTATAAATCACAGGGAACAATTTGGAATATATGAGGAGTGAGATGATCTTTTAGAAACAATCATTCGCACAGAGAAGAGTCGAAACGGGATAACATAGCCATAGGTTCAAATACTGGCGGAAAATGTAAGAATCCATTTCTAATAACCCTTTTGGATGAAAGGGATTAAGCTTACGCTTGTTATGCACTGTTTGTGCTCATTGTTTCTCAGAACAGGATTAACTTTGATCATTTTCTATTGCCACTCGAGCATCTGCTACGAAATAGGCTGGCACGCTGAAAGTTTTGTCGCAGGACCCAAGTGCACTGTTACCTCATACACAGAATGTCAGTGGAAACTGGATTTGTTCAACTCGAAGGCCGTCACCAAACATTGCCTGGGAGACTCCAGTCAAACCTGTAAAATCTTCTGCAGCCAAAACATCTGCAGGGATTTTAAAGGCAGCAAAAATGATTCTGATAAGATAGCAAACTCTGTCCTCATTCAGGCATCATGCTTGAGCAAGAAATAGCAGTCTGGATTTGGGGTATTGAGCCAAGCATGCTGGTCAGCCCCAGATCTTCCCAGGTTGAGCAGGAGATGTCTGAATGAGGCTTTTACCTGGATTTACTTGACTGAGTGTAGACACCTCTGCACATAGGAGCCCTGTATTATCATAGCTTGAAGACTTCAATTAAGTGAAGACTTCACTTTAGCTAAGCGAAAACAGTTTGGAACCTTCAACACACTTTCCCTGCTATAAACACAGGGAGGTCTGTAATAGAGTGGGGAGGCACACATATTCCCACCACATAACACTGAAACGTGACTGGTACTTTGTTATGGTGCGTTAGAAGCTTTTAATGTTTTGTTGCATTCTTTTATATTCTGTTGGAAGCCACCCAGAGTGGCCGGGGCAACCCAGTCAGATGGGTGGGGCACCAGAAATTGTTGTTGTTGTTCTATCATCATCATCACCATCTTTATTATTCCAGGTTAACCCTGTGTCTGTCGACAATTGTGTAGGAACACGTCCCACCAGTCTTCTTGCAATACGCAGATATCCATGAATACACACCTTAGTAGTAACAGGCATATAATACGCACCTGGCCTCGCTTCTCTCTCTGCTTAGCAAATCCAGCAATCATACAAAGTTTTATTTGGAAAGGGTAAAAATGATATCACAGAAGGACACAGTCGCAACCTCCATTTATCTCCAGTTGTCAGATATTTTACTGCAAATAAGTTTACTGTGCAGGTGTTCTTTCCTTTCATGGGTTTTCATGGGAGAGACATCACTAGTGCTGTCAAAATTCATGAAGCCAGGGAGCTCCATGGGAAAGCGTTCCCATTTGCATGGAGAAGAGAGACAGGCAGAGATGAAATACTGCAAAATCTTTTACTGCACCTGCATAAATAGGGGCATGCTATGCCCTCCAGAAGTTCAAATCCTGGATGAGGCACGTTAAAATAACATAATGATGTAGTTGAGAGCATGCTTGGAGCAGTTTCTAATAACTACAGATGTTTCACACCTAAGGGTGTGAGGGAACCATAGAGCTTGATAATCAAACCACACAATGTCAAATTCACTTATTTGGGGCACTGTTGTCCCCCTCCGTTCAGGTCCCACAGTTTTTTTTTTTCCTTTTTATAAAAAAAAGCACCTTAAAAGGTTGTAGAAGTCATATATGTCCTGGGAGAGTGGAAGCCTGCAAAGGATCACTGAAGGCTTTGTATCGTTTGTAGCAGCTTAACTGCTGAAATATTGTAGAGCAAATACACTGCACAGTGTAAGCTCTGTCGACACAAATCTTTCTTTTGGGAATGATTGGCCAAGAAAAAAAATGTCTTAGAGATGCTTCTTGGTTGGATTGGTCTCCTTCATGTCTGCACTGAACAACAGGCTTGTGTGTGAGGTGTGTGAGAGAGAGTTCTTACCAGTACAGCTCTTTATGTGGGCACCCATAACACTTTGATCAATATATGAGTACAGGCAACTCATTTTTTAGGACACCTCTACCCAATCCCACCTTACATGTGTGTGTGTCTCTGTGTGTAATTTTCTAGTTCATTGGTCAATATTTATCTGTGGTTCATTGCTTTGGATCTATAAGACAGTCACATGTTTTTCAGTTTTCTTTGCCTGGTCTGAGTTAGAACAGACCCTCCAAGTCTCCCTATTTTCCAGGGACATCCCTGATTTAGAGAAGTCATCCCGGGTTCTGATTTGATCCTGAAATGTCCCACTTTTTCCTTAGGAGGTCCCTATTTTCATCGGAGAGCTGCTGGATGATGTGGTAGGATGTCCCTATTTTCATTAGAGATATGTTGGAGGGTATGGAGTTATCTGACCCCCCAAGCTGTCTGAAGGCAATCTTGCATAGGGAAGGTGTTTTAATTTTTTTTTAATGTTTTGTTATGTTTTTATATTTGTTGGAAGCTGCCCAGAGTGCTGGGACAACCCAATAAGATGTGTGGGTGTAAATAGTAAAATTATCATTATGGAATGGGACTTCCCTATTTTCATTGGAGAAATGTTGGAGGGTATGGTACAGCAGCAGTGACACTGGCAGGTGGCACAGTGGCGGTGAGTGTCCCACGCGTGGTGGTGGTATGGTGGTGTGGCAGAGCAGAGTGGCACTTCCTGTTTTGCCTCAAGTGGCAAAATGGGACGTACCACCCCTGATCTCAGGATTCCAGAACTTACAGCTATCAGTTCTGAGTGAAGGCAAGCAATGACCCACAGCCCAGGTGGGGCTCGCTAGCTTGGGGAGGAGATGTGTGATTCCTCAGCTGGAGAAGGTTCAGGTGAGGCTCACGTTCTTTGCCAAGCCCAGAAGCTACAACAGGCCTGTGTCCTGGCCACACACACATGGCTTCTGTTTTGTGCAAAGCTGGTAGACTGAGAAACACTAAAGGTGTGTGCTTACAGGGAAACAGATACCAGTGTCCATGGGCCATCCCACCCATGAATTTTTCTCTGAGAAAAATAAATGGCTCGCGTAAATATAAACTAAGCTTTAATAATAATGAAAACTGTAACAGAATAACATAATGAGAGAAACTACATGCAGCAACAGGAGGCAAGAAACAAGAAGACACAGTTGGTCCCTCTTAACGGACATTCTTAACTGAACAGAACTGAACACACATGGAAGGGAGGGGCTGATTCTGGAACAAAGCACACAAGCCCCACCCACCAGATACCAAGCACTCTACTAGAGTGGTACCTTGGTTCTCAAATGCCTTGATACTGAAACGCCTTGCTTTTCAAATTGCCGAAAACCCAAAAGTAAGTGTTCTGGTTTTCGAATGTTTTTCAGAAGCCAAAAGTCCAATACGGTTGTCAGCTATTGTTTCTGGGGTGCCTGCACCAATCAGAAGCTGCGCCTTGGTTTTTGAACATTTCGGAAGTCAAACGGACTTCCAGAATGGATTAAGTCTGGCACTTCTGTTTTTGCTATTGGTTTAGTGTTTTTGTTTTTGAGGCTTTTTCAGTTAATTTGTTTTTGTGACTGTGTGGAACCCAGTTCAGCTACTAATTGATTGATTGTGTGACTACGGAAATGGATAAAAGCCCCCCATCCAAACAATGACTGTTATCGGTGCAGGAAAGGAAAAAAAAGTAATTTTAATTTTTATCATCTACAATACTGTCTTACTTATTTTATACAGTACGGTACATTGCTTATTGCTTTCATTTTATGGATCAATGGTCTCGTTAGATAGTAAAATTCAGGTTAAATTGCTGTTTTAGGGGTTATTTTTAAAAGTCTGGAATGGATTAATCCGTTTTGCATGACTTTCTATGGGAAAGCGCGCCTTGGTTTTGGAACGCTTTGGTTTTGGAACGGACTTCCGGAATGGATTAAGTTTGAGAACCAAGGTACCACTGTATTCAAATTAGGCCTCAGTGGCAATCCTTTATAGGGAAGTTCTTTTTAATGTTTAATGTTTTATTATGTGGCTGTGACAACCCAGTAAGATATGTGGGGTATAAAAAGTAAAATTATCAATATGGAATGGGACGTCCCTATTTTCTTTGGAAAAATGCTGGAGGGTATGTAAGGATTGTCAATTGGTCAACATTTCACTGGCCTTTTCCAGCAAGGTTGCATTGTTGTTAGCCGCCCTGAGCCCGGCTTCGGCTGGGGAGGGCGGGATATAAATAAAAATTATTATTATTATTATTATTATTATTATTATTATTATTATTATTCTGTCAAGTGAAAGTGAGTAAACATCAAATCCCACTACACTGTGTGCTAGACAAACAAGATTCTGCCAGATTTTATTTGTTTGTTTGTTTTATTTAACAGGATTTATATACTACTTAATCATTAAAAAATCTCTAACTGGTTACTATCAATTCAACATTGTGTTGTAGCCAGTGAAGTCATCCCATCACTTTAATGAATTTTGCCTGCGCAATGAGACTTTCTCTCCCTCTGTGTCCTCAAATCTGTTCTGAATAAAATATGGGGTTTATCTGCCCCCCCCATTTGATCACAGGACATGGTGCACATACATCATTTGAATGGCAATGTCCTAGGATCTGGTAACAGGAAAAGGAGCAGGACTGAAATGAAGGGTGAACTATTATGCCACAGAAAGTGTGGGAGCTACTGCTCTGAGTAGGAGAGATCTTGCGTGAAAGCTGACATTCTAAAATAAACCCCCTTCCTGCAAAACATTCTCACTGAAGTTGACTACAGTGGTATTCTTTATACATTAACTTTGGCTCCATTTCAGAGTAAAATTCATGAGCAAGAGTAACCAATTATTAAGGAATAGGAAGACAAAGGAATGCGCTTCTGCATTGTGCTGGGACTTAGTAAGAGTTGAACACACATTATTCACTGGATAAATATGTGGAAGAAAGGAAGAGAGTATTTATCTCTGTTTTAATTACTGTTAATCTGCCGAGACTTTCCCATTAGAAATATCACACTGGCATTTTCTTGGGTACCAGCTGCAAGCCAAGCTCTTTAACATTTAATTTTGATGCACTTACTCATCCAGTTCCCTGCTTTCCTTCATCTGTTCACTATGCACCCATGCTTTTGAGAAGATCTTTCTGATGAGACACTCCCCCAAAATTTCAGTTAGTTTCCCCTTTGTTCTCTTTTGCCCCCTGCCTCAATCCCTAGGTCTCTCTCTCTCTCTCTGAATATCTCTCAGTGAATATTTCTCTTTGAAGCACATCATGTTTCAGCCAGGGATAATGGCCTTTGGTATTCTGCTAGAATCACATTAAAAACCACTGTGTTCCACTGGCTGAGGAAGTTACAGTGCTGCTCTCTTCCACCTGATGATAATCTGGGGCTGTACTGTGTACTAAACAATCACTATTCATTGGGGTTTGTTAGACATTTCATTCCACAGCAAAAGGAAAAGGGAACTTTTGTCAATAATTAAGTTTCAACATTGGCAGAGTGGGATTCTTCAGGTGCCCACATCTCAGGGGGGGAGGAGGGGGCCTAATGAAAGAGGCTTGTTCTTTCCATGCTATGTTTTGAGAAGGGAATTAGCTCTCCAGACACTCCCACAAGGCTAATTTTTAACACAGGAAGCATCCTTCAGTAGAAGTCAAATCTCCCTAGGATCCAGCACTGAAAACATTATCATTTCAAAATTCTCTTTACAAGTTCTTTGTCTTCAGCTTCATTATTGTCTTGTTCCTGTACTTGACAGAATTCTCATAGGCCTTGCATTATTACAGAGAAACATGATGGCAAGAAAGTCCTTTGCTCCTTCTGTTACCTTGAAGAGAAGGCTGTTCCAAGGGAACAGGGGCAGTTTCCTAACATAGAAATATTACAGGGGCAGTTTCCTAACAAAGGAATATCTCCAGTGTTCAGGATGTGTGTGGTTTATATATGTAGGCAGAAGGACACACATTCTTGTGCATGAGGGAGCTATCCGGAGGTCTGATGGAACCACAAGTTTTGCAAAGGAACAATAAAACTTGGGGGGGAGGAACTAAAGGGGGATGGTATACCAAAAAAGTTAAAAATGTTTAAACACAGCTAATTTACAACCAGGGACTGTTAGGCTGTGTGCATATTATACATTTAATTCGTTCCCTCAAAGAATTATGGGCACTGCAGTTTGTTAAGGCTTGCTGGGAATTACAACTGTGGGGGCTAAAGTACAGAGCCCAGAATTCCTTGAGTAAAAGAATGTGCTTTGAAGGTGCTTTAAAGGTTTAATGTATAAGCAGCCTTAGCTGGAAATAGCTCATACCCGTTAGGTCTTGTGTTCTTCATTTGTGTTCTCCAAAAGCTAGAAAAATACAGTGGTGCCCCGCAAGACGAATGCCTCGCAAGACGGAAAAACCGCTAGACGAAAGGGTTTTCCGTTTTGAAGTTGCTTCGCAGGACGAATTCCCCTATCTTGCTTCGCAAGACGAAAATGTCTTGCGAGTCTTGAGATTTATTTTTCGCTTTTCCCCCCCTTTATCTAATCTGCTAAGCCTTTAATAGCCTTTAATAGCCTTTTAGCAGCTAATCCCCTAAGCCTTTAAGCCTTTAATAGCCGCTAAACAGCTGATAGCGCTAATAGCGCTAATCCGTCAATGGGCTTGCTTCGCAAGACGAAAAAACCGCTAGACGAAGACTCTTGCGGAACGGATTAATTTCGTCTTGCGAGGCACCACTGTATAAGATTTGGTAACGGGTTTGTCATGGCCTCCCAAACCTGATAACTTGCACTGCCTCCAAGGGAAGTCCAGATGAGGAAAAGATTCACACTGCTCCACCCAGTGGATAGACTTTCAGCATCTCACACTTTTCAAGCCTGAGGACATGGAAATTCTGCCTTCCTCAGACTCAGAGCCCTCAGTAGCATCTCCTGCTTCTCTGTAGTTGCAGAACCAAAAATAAACCCTTTTAAAAGAACAGATAGTTCCTCTAGGGCAGGCATCCCCAAACTCAGCCCTCCAGATGTTTTGAGACTACAATTCCCATCATCCCTGACCACTGGTCCTTCTAGCTAGGGATCATGGGAGTTGTAGGCCAAAAACATCTGGAGGGCTGAGTTTGAGGAAGCCTACTCTAGGGAGACAGTGCCAGCAGCATAACAGGTTGTAGCTTTATGATGCTTCAATGCTTAGCTGAAGCCACATTCCCATGTTGTCTACAGTAGAGGGAGAGCTACAAGCAGCAGAGCTCACTGCAGAAAAAACCCAAACAAGAATCCAAACAAGGGAGGCTATTCCATAACCACGGTGCCAACACTGAAAAGACCCTTTCTTTGGTAGCCACCCACCTTAAAGTGCTTCTAAATCTGACTTTGTGGGAGATTAGCAGTCCAACCCAACTAATGTATATTATTGCTAGTTAGCATGAGAAAGGGCTAAGTCCACAGAACTGTATTGCTGATAGGCAGGTACTCAGACCATAGAAATACAACTGGTAGAGTGGTCTCTGTGTGATGTCATTTCCCCTCCTTTCCTAGAGAAGAAGGAGCATATAGTACTTCCTGTTCCTCTCTTTCTTCCAGTGATCAGCCATGAGGGCAGACGAGCCTTGTGCTTGTTCCAGCTTTAGGCACATACTGTAAATATGAGTATTTTGCCTGCATAGTTTTGACTAATGCCATCGCTGTGAACCAGTGCAAGAATATAAGTAAATCAAACTTACCGTATTTTTCGCTCCGTAAGACGCACCAGACCATAAGACGCACCTAGTTTTTGGAGGAGGAAAACAAGAAAAAAAAATTTCTGAATCCCAAAAGCCATAACAGCAAGAGGGATCGCTGCGCAGTGAAAGCAGCAATCCCTCTTACTGTTCTGTCTGGGATAGCTGCGCAGCCTGCATTCACTCCATAAGACGCACACACATTTCCCCTTACTTTTTAGGAGGGAAAAGGTGAGTCTTATAGAGCAAAAAATACGGTAATCTTTAAACTTACTTTTCAGATTGTTACCTGATTCTTTGTTAAGTGGGATAAGGAAGGGGAGCCAGCTTAATCCATAGCTGAACTTGTTCAAAACAAGGTTTTATAGCCTAATTCCTATACTTTTAATTTTGCTCCCAAGGATGGGATTTTGAACCTCTTTTCAACTCACACAGGTGGGCACTTGGAGGGATAAATTGCAATTAATATATCCTCTCTTACTCATTAAAAACCCACCCCACAAACTTGACCTGATGTAAACCTGCTTACTGAGATTTGACCTTATATGAACCTGACCTGACGTGACCTTATTTAAGGCTGCTACCACTTCCCCCGCGAACCCTGAGCCCCAGAATAACAGGTTGCTGCCACATTTGAGGTGTGGAAAAACTGGGAACTTTGCCCATCTGCACCCATCAAGCAGTTGGATTTTCCACTTACAACTGCCAGAGATTCCTTTTGCAAGTAGCATCAGTATGTGGAGCAGATGTCCCTTTCTCAGCCCCATTGGAGTGAAATTATCTAGAGAAAACAATAAATAATTTCCAGTGACTTGACCTTATGCAGCCTTCCTATTCAAATGGCAAAATAAGAAATGTACAAATCATCACAGGCAATGGATGGGGAGATAGAGTGAGATCCATAAAGCACAAGAAATCCCTGGAAAGTCGGCTTGGCATCTACTCCATTGTGTGATGTATGCAGTTTTGTCAATGAAGGGTAACAAGCCAGTTCCATAGGTATTAGGGAAGTATGTTAGGATATCAGTGCTATAAATTTTAAGACTGTGACATGGGCAGTGTGTTTTAGGCTGGCTGTAATTACTTTGTGCGTAAGAGAGAAACATGGTGGAAGAAATCAGAATGCGAGAACGCCATCCGGTGGTGTCAGAAAAAGGAAAGGAGGGGTAAGTTGTAAACAATAGGCTGTCATAGTGAGTAAAATGGAATTTCTGTCTTTAAAAATAAAATAAAAACCAGAGCAAAATTTCAGAAAGCTTATAAATCACAGCTTTACCCCGCATTATTTTCAAACAAGCAATTCAAAATCTCTGCAGTTGGCCTTCTGGGGACTTCTTAAATCACTAAGCCCTTATCAGCACCAGGTAGAATAAAAGTCTCTTTCAGCACATTTATCCTGCCGTTTCATTTGAATCCAGCAAAGCCACGGAGGCGGTGAGACATCCTGTTCTGGACAATGTTACATTACCTTGGAAGGAGCAGGTCCACAGCTTTCGGGGTGCGGCTTTTTAGTGTTGCCATATTGCCAAAAGTGAAAATCCAGACAGAGTTGTTGATTTTTTTTGGGGGGGGCAAAGTTGTTGAGCTCCCCAAAAACATTCATTTTGGGTCTTATATTTTTAAAGAATTGTAAAAATAAAAATAGCCCAACTTACCATACATCCAGGTTTCCCTGGACATTTTATCAATTCAGCAAAAATCTGCCCAGACGCCATTTTCCTGAACGAATAATGTCCCGGAAAACCCAGACGTGTGGCAGCCTTAGGGGGGCTGCTGGATTCAACACTGTCGCTGGAGGCTCTGGTGGCCTTGGTGACTAGGAATCCTCTGGCTGTTTTTGGAGAGAAATGACTTGGCCTCTGTACTCCATGCTCAGGCAACTTCCAGATTGAATGGTTGTGTACCGAATTTCCTTTATGAGTGAGGCCAGAAGGTGAACTACAGAACTGGAAAACAACAAAAAGGTGCATGTTGAGGGAGCGAATAGTGCAATTATGTAGTTTAGTCATGAGGTGGCACTGGATTTAGCTGTATCCAGGTGGAGGCGGGATGCAGGTGGTGCTGTGGGTTAAACCACAGAGCCTAGGACTTGCCGATCAGAAGGTCGGCGGTTCGAATCCCCGTGACGTGGTGAGCTCCCGTTGCTCGGTCCCTGCTCCTGCTAACCTAGCAGTTCGAAAGCGCGTCAAAGTGCAAGTAGATAAATAGGTACCGCTCCGGCGGGAAGGTAAACGGCTTTTCCGTGCGCTGCTCTGGTTCGCCAGAAGCGGCTTAGTCATGCTGACCTCATGACCCGGAAGCTGTATGCTGTCTCCCTCGGCCAATAAAGTGAGATGAGCGCCGCAACCCCAGAGTCGGTCATGACTGGACCTAATGGTCAGGGGTCCCTTTACCTTTACCTTTACCTTTAGGTGGAGGCAAACATTTTCTGCGCTGTTCAAGACAATAAAGTTCTTGTCTAGTTTTCTAACTGATGCGTCCTCTATGCCTTCTGTGATGGCGAAAACACTCAAGTAGTGCACGGACCAGGAAATCCAGCCATTTACTACCTTCCTGCACAACTTTTTGCTCTTTCCTACCTCTGCTCCATCAAAAAGTCAGTACATCCTTTAATCTTGACACATGAGAATACTCATGCACCGGGGCAAATACTCCTGGACTCAGACAGAAAATGCATTATTTTTTAAAAAAGACAAATGTTTCTTTAACACCTCACAAATTCCTTACCCATTGATAGCTGACAGCTTTCTTTGCTAGCTGCCCTGCTGAGTTGGGTTTTCTACCATTTCTACTATGGTTTGTATGCTTTTATTTGGTGCTGTTCCTCAATAACAGCTCCCAAATGTGCCTATAACCTTGTTTTCAGAAGTCTGGTTTTGATGCCATTGAATCTACTGTGGCAATGCAGCAATTAAGTGGGATTAAGTGATACATGAAACGAAGGATACTCCTGTGTGGGTTAGCATTTGGGGACAAAGTATAAAAAGCAAGTCATCTGGATGACTTATTCATAACGTGGCCATATTTAGAACAAGGTCAAACTGGCATCAGCGCCTTGAGTTTAAAATAATCCCTCCCCCTGTCCTCCATCTGATCAAAATGTCATCTTCATTAGCAGACATGGGTACCATTTAGGAAGAGCACTCTGTAGGTCTCAGGCTTACTCACTGGTTTTATATTACAACTCCAAGGGATTATTTTCAGAATTGTAGGAACATAGGTGCTAGGTATGATGCTACAGATACACTTAACTTTGCTTTTTAAAAAAGATAAAATATTGCTGTTTCTCTCCCTCCCCCCCTTCTCACTCTGGTGCAAGAGTAGTCATATTTTCTATCCATCATTCAAAGGGGGGCAGGGTGTTATCTTTCCAATGAATCAATATCAGTCTTTTAAGTCAGAGCCTGAAGAGTACATTTATGCTGACCTGCTGTCAAACCACCTGTGGTTTGGATAATATTATCATCTGACAATTTAACATTTCCCCCCAAAGTAGTATTTCTGCATCAGGCATAGGCAAACTCGGCCCTCCAGATGTTTTGGAACTACAATTCCCATCATCCCCGGCCACTGGTCCTGTTAGCTAGGGATCATGGGAGTTGTAGTCCCAGCACATCTGGAGGGCTGAGTTTGCCTATGCCTGATCTACATCTTAGTATTTTCCTCCAAATATTTGTAAGCATCAGACACTGAATCAGCCTATGTTTCAAAGAAGCATTTTCCTTATTACATCTCCAGCAGCATGTTGTCATGGAACATCACCTCACAGGGTTGTTGTGACAAATAGACCGGATATGGCATAAGGTTTCATGGGGCCGGCATGTGAGACACATGCTTGAGCAAGGTTCAAATACCACCTTGGCCATGCCTCACTAAACTACAATTTTCAGAGTAGTTTATCCATCGATCCTTCTTCTCAGGGAGCTCTCGGGATTTATAGCTCTGTGAGCGGGGTGGGGAAGGGTCTCCCGACAACTGTGAGCATTCTTAACAAACTACCGTTTCCCAAGATAGTTTTGGGAGAAGGAGTGACAGTTTAAAGTGATAAGGTTCTGCTTTAAATGTGTGTGTAGTTCAGATGGTGAATTAGTTGCCTAATGAGATTAAATGAAGGCAGGTGAAATGGATGCATGGTATTGTTTTATAATAATAAAAAGCAGAGGTGCAATTTCAGGCTAGATACTAGAAATATACTAGACTCTATATTTCTTTCATCTCACGTGCACAGAAACAAACACGAAGATCCATGGAAACAGAACAATCAGTAAAGATTTCATGAAGGTGTCAGAAAAGAAGATTCAGCCGGGTGGCTCGGAAACAGACTGTGAAGTGAATAAATTCACGCAGGAAAGGGAAAGGGAAAGGATCATCTTTGCTATAGTCTATGATTATGTGCTGCCAAGACATTTTGCTCAATGTCTGGCCTTGATGCTTTGTAAGTAACTGCTGTGTGTATTCCTACAATCTCTGATGCGGTATTGCAGTTGCTGGATCATTGAAAGTCAGGGGGAGAGCTGAGCTGCTAGCCTAAAATCACAATGATAACACTAACAGCCTAGGTAATTGAGGTTATTATGGATGCATTAGACATACAGACAAACATACACAATTATACACAGTGCAAAGATAAGCGTATTCACAGCAGCCAGAGTCTTCTAGCTCCGTCAGGAGAGACGAGAGTTCCCACACCTCAAACACACACACACACACACACACACACACACCCTCAGCAGCAGTGGCTTAGCACCAGGATTCTCCAACCTGGTGCCCTCCATAGGCCTTGGACTGCAGATATTCATATTGCACAGTTTGAAACAAGTAGGTGCTAAAAATAGAGTCCTTATGGAGTAAAAAAACATTGTCCAGACCCATGAAAATATTATGCAAAGTGTACATGCAGAATTTTCTTTAAAATATAACCAAAAGGTAAATGATACATTCAAACAATTCCATATCTTGTGCATATCCATCACAGGCTCAGCATCCTCTTAGAAATAAAATAAATGTACAATCAGAGCTGACAAACACAACTCTCTCTCTCTCTCTCTCTCACACACACACACACAGGCTTCATTGCCTGCATTCCATTTCCCTAGAGCTGTTTTCTCTCCCTTTGGGAGAGTCTTTTACGTGTCTGTACTCCATAGTGTCTGAAAGAACAAGACTCCTTTCCAAGATGACTAATTTGCAATTCAATACCTTAATCACGGGACGCGGGTGGCGCTGTGGGTTAAACCACAGAGCCTAGGACTTGCTGATCGGAAGGTCGGCGGTTCGAATCCCCGCAAATGGAGCTCCCATTGCTCGGTCCCTGCTCCTGCCAACCTAGCAGTTTGAAAGTGCAAGTAGATAAATAGGTACCGCTCCGGCGGGAAGGGAAACAGCATTTCCGTGCACTGCTCTGGTTTGCCAGAAGCGGCTTAGTCATGCTGGCCACATGACCCGGAAGCTGTACACCGGCTCCCTCGAGATGAGCGCCACAACCCCAGAGTCAGTCACAACTGGACCTGATGGTCAGGGGTCCCTTTACCTTAATCACCTGATCTAAGGTTAAACACTCACGTGTTAGGTAGCAGAAAACAACAATAGTTAATTATCAACTACTTAAAGCACAGAGAGAGTTCTTCTTGCTTTTCTAAAGCTTCAGTGGAATCTCCCCATGTAAAAACCTTTTCACCAATACACAGGAATTTCCATTTCAGTGTGAATTAAACCAATTATACAGAACACAGCTCCCATCAGCCACTATTTACTATTACATTTATATGCCACTTTTTCTCTAAGGACCTCAAAGTGGTGTACATGGTTCTGCTCCTGCTCTCCATTTTATCCTCAAAGCAACCCTATGAGGTAGGTTAGGTTGAGCTACCCCCTGTCTATGTTAGGATTCTAACCTAACAAGTTCTGATATGAAAACAGGAGATCTATATTATTGTGGGGAATTCACACTTCAACTAAACAGTTCTACTGACTTAATGAATTCTCTGGTACAAATCTGGGGTTCCCTTATTACTAGGGAATGAATACTGTGAGTTTAACATAAATTACTCTACTGGCAAGGATATAGTAAAAGGCGCCCATCATTATAGAGAAAAATGTTTTAAAACAGAATCAACATGCAGACAAATTTCCATTGCTAGCTGTCAACACATTGGATGAAACAGAGCTTCTGAGAAGGCTCCATTTTCAGTGGAAGATAACTTTTAGTCAAAAACATATTTATTTGCAGTGGAAAATAAGTTTTAGTCAAACCATTCAGGGTTTGGTTCCCATTCAAGCCAATAAAGGTTCTGTAACCCATTAAAAAAATGCTGGTATGAAAAACAACCAAAGCTGGGGTAGCTCAGTCAATAGAGCACGAGACTATTAATCTCATGGTTGTGGGTTTGAGCACCACGCTGGGAAAATATTCCTGCATTGCAAGGTGTTGGACTAGATGACCCTCGTAGACCCTTCCAGCTCCACAATCCTACAATTCTAGGAACCAGTTGCTTCAGTTCTAGTTTCGATGAGACAATTTAAATATAAGGTACAATGAAAACATTGTTTGTATAATAAGGCACAGCAAACTAAAATGCCTAAAATTATTAAAACTAAAGCCTTCTCCAGGCATATCCCCTTGTTACAGTTCTCATCTCCCTCCATGATATTTTGAGATCTCAGGAACTGCAGAGATTCTGTTCCCGTGAGACATAAGTTTGCAAGAGGGCAGGATTCCTCCATTCAAGTAAGCTTGCTAGGTGTAATCAGTGGTGGCTAACACCTGTTGAGATTGGCAAGGAAGTAGGTAGGGAGCGCGGTAAGCCAGAGTCAACAAGATGCAGAGCAAACTAATTCTATTTTTGTTCTCCTCCTTCTCCCTGCTGAATCTACAAAGGGCACACTGAGACTAAGCTGGAGGAAGTTGAGAGGCAGTGCCGCTCTCTTCAGCCATTGTAAGAATGCAGGCTGGGGGAAGCTAGCTGAGGGCAGTCTGGCCTTGATGGGGCAGTTCCCAATTCACCCTAGTGGACCAACCTCCACTGGGTCTAATTTGGGGTACCTACTACAGGCACCAGCCCCTAGCTTCTTCAATGGGATTTTTCCTGCCTCCCCACCCCAAAGTCCCTTGTTGTGTTACAGCACCTCCCAGGCTGAGATTGGGTCTTACTAATTTAAACACCTGCTATAGTGTTTTGCCAAGTGGAGACAGTAGCCGTTAATCCAATGGCATGATATGCATCCAATTACTTGCAGTATCCATCAGCAAAGCTTGCGGTCTTTGAGATTTCTTTTCCAATAAGTGTTGAGAATTTATTTCAGGACAATACTTCGTATAGCAAGTTCTGCAATAATATTTTAAGACTGCAGTGGACACTCAGAAAAAGAAGCAGCAGTGGAGAAATATTAGCATCAAACAAGAGCTGCTTTTAGTGAAATTACAGTATTAAACCAGAATCCAGATATTCTCCATCTTAAAATCTTCAAGCCATCACTGAATGGAAACTCTCTCATGTTCAGATAATACAAAGCTTCCTCTTCTAACATGGGGCGTGAAGTAAGTCTCGCTTACTGAACTGTGGAAGAAGCAAGTATTAACATTTCCACCCAGATTTCTGTAATCTTTTTGGTTTGTCTTGTTACCTAGAAAATCTCTTTGATTATCATTTTATGCTCTAGCTTAGCAGTTGTGCAAGGAACTAGTGGCGAGGAACACTTGTGTTAATATAATTTCAAGGCCAGTGTTTTGGCCGAGATGCATTTCCTGCTGTATTATATGCCTCAGATCCAACTTTAGGTGGCAAGCCTCACTTTTACTAGGGAGTACTCTCCACTGAACACAATGGACTTGTTGTTGTTGTTTAGTTGTTTCTGACTCTTCGTGACCCCATGGACCAGAGCACGCCAGGCACTCCTGTCTTCCACTGCCTCCCGCAGTTTGGTCAAACTCATGCTGGTAGCTTTGAGAACACTATCAAACCATCTCGTCCTCTGTCGTCCCCTTCTCCTTGTGCCCGATTGGAGAAGACGGGTGATGTCCAACCAAGGAGAGAAAGAAGCAAGTTGTCCTTTAAAAGCAAAGATCCTTTATTTGGTTGCAACCGGGTTCCCTACGCAAAGGTGACAAAAGGTGTGAGGAAACCCACCCAAAGTAAGTCCAGAAATTATACAGTCGCAATTGCGGGTGGTCTTATTTGTCACAGGTTCATCAGTTTACAAGGTAAGGGGGAGGTACATGGGAGCAGGGTGCAAAAGGGAGGTTCGGGGTGCAAATCTTATCTACATGAGTAAAGTAATATCTAGAAATCCAGGGACTGATGGCAAATGATATGGTAATCCGTTTTTCTAGAATAACAATAGAGACGAGAGTTTTATTTAACAGTTAAATTCCTCTTCCCGCAGGGTCACAGGAAATGGATCTGGTCTTCTGGCACTTTACGGAAGAAGGAAGAGGAGCTGAGTGGAAGTGATTAGGTTGAGGCTAAAAATAACATTCATGGTTACAATAAAGTGATGCAATTTGAATACATGGGTTCCAATTCTTATTTTCCTGAAAGTAGTGAGTGCTCACTGGAAGGACAGATCCTGAAGCTGAGACTCCAATACTTTGGCCACCTCATGAGAAGAGAAGACTCCCTGGAAAAGACCCTGATGTTGGGAAAGATTGAGGGCACAAGGAGAAGGGGATGACAGAGGACGAGATGGTTTGATAGTGTTCTCAAAGCTACCAGCATGAGTTTGACCAAACTGCGGGAGGCAGTGGAAGACAGGAGTGCCTGGAGTGCTCTGGTCCATGGGGTCACAAAGAGTCGGACACAACTAAACGACTAAATAACAACAAACAACAACAGTTACAATCATTGAGAAGTTGAACAAACACTGATAAGGCACAAGGATACAAAGGGGCCAGTTCCATTGCAAAGACGCCCAATGTAACAATTGCATAAGGTCACCTTAGGGATTCACATTTACAAGTAGTAAAGACACAATTACAAGAAAAATACCTAGATACAATTTAAAATTACCTGAATACAATTACAAGGAAATACTTGGATACAATTATAAAAATAGACATAGGATAAATTCAGGAAATAGGGTAATAGGCCATACAGGGAAGAAAGAAAAATGCTTTATTTGACAGAAAGAAAAGAAAGGATTTGAAGGAGGGGAATAACAGGAGAAGCAAATTGAAAGGAGAGCAGACTAAAAGGCAAAATTGAGGAAAAGGTTCATATATCTCTTAGGTTGTCTTCATTTGGTTTATTTGGTCCTGGTTTTCAGCTTCTTTGGCTATTCTTCTACACCAGATGAAAATCCAAAGACCCAGATCCAGACAGTGCAAAATTGTGTTATGAATTGTCGTTGTTGCTGTTTTGCAGCGGGAAATTAATCTAGATGATACCCAATTCTTGAGGTCTAGTTTCTATGAGGGTAGAATATGTAAGAGGAAGCTTGTCAAATCACTTCCTTTGTGAACTGTGCATGAAGAGGGGGAATTAACAACCCGCAAATGAACTCTGGGACCATATTCGAAAAGTTAGAGCCTGTTCAGTTATTGCAATGATTCTTGTGATAGGAATTTTATGGTCTTAGATATATGGTAATGTTCATAAGTGTACCAACCAAGCATGTACATAGATCAGCACAGGAAGGCCAATCTGGAACCATTTTGATTCCTAAACTGAGCAAATGTTTTCTCTGCAAGGTCAAAGTGGGAAACCTCCCCATTGTCTCTTTCCTCACAAATCCTGTCTTAAGGGCACATTTAAGATATGAATAGGGTGTGAGCCTGTGACGTGGCCCAGGAACTAAGTGTTTATCATTACAAAAGACTAGCCAGGCTCCCCGGGAAATCCAATCAAGTAACCTGCCAGACAGGAAATAAACGACAGGAGAAAAACAACATTCAAATTTCTGTTTAGACCGCCTTTCCTGTGATGTAGGTGTGATGTATTTGAGGGGTGGTCTTATGTTACACCCCTTCTGTGATGTATGTATGATGTTTCTGGGGGATGGTCTTGATCTACAGGGTGGCAATTTCAAAAGTCTTTATAAGGCCTTGCGCGCCATTTCTCTGGGTTCCTCCTCTCTCCTGCGGGTGAGGGGAGCACCCTGTAGCAACAGATCAATAAAGATCAAGCTTACTAGCTGCTTTGCTTCTCAATATTCTCTGGCTGGCCTCTGTTATTCTCTCCTACCAATAGGGAACCTATGTAAGGACGCTATATGGGCTCTTGGATACCCCATAAGGCAGAAGGGCAATTTTTGTTTACAACATTCTGCAAGCCACACTGCCAAACACTAGCCAGTGCTGCTCCATCTCTTTAGTGCTCAGATAAGGTTCTTGGCCTTGCCTTGTTGCTCTTCTCTCTTGTCCTTTGTGCTGTCTTGGAAACATTCCGTAAAGGGCAATTCTGTGTTGGAGGCCCGTGCTGTCAGCTTAACTGTAGATCTCTAATGAAGTATATTAGTCTAAGCCGCTATTACAATATTCAGTAACTGCCGGGCCTTCAGCAGTGTGTCTTAGGAGTCCTTCGATAACCCCCACTCCACCCCGGAAACATAAGTGATATTGGCATGATAAGGGGTTTTCAATTACGTCCTGGGTGTGATTCCATTTCCATAGTTAAGAGGCGGTTTAAAGCACTTCTGCAACAATTAGAAGCCAGCCCAATGGATCCTGTAGGCATTCACCTATGATCAAAGACCCGCCAAGCTTAATTTGTATTTGTGCGTCCTCCAGAAACAGGACCGGGTTCAAATTGGGATATGAAGAGGCAAAGTAATTGATGTACCACTCCCTTTGATATCTTATTTGCAAAGGCTGTGTAATTACTTGTCAGTCCAGCCTGAGCTCTACCTCAAGCAAAAACGCTTTAGTATTCTTCTTTCATTCTTCTTGTTTTAATTGTACTGACATTCCGGTTCTCTGAAGAAACATCACAAAGAAAAAACCCAGCAATGTGCACATCAGGAGGCTGGCTCTGTGGCCTTTGAAATTAATGGCAAAGCTTCAATGGAGTCCAATGGAAGGAGTGGAATGGAAATGGAATTTTTTTTTGTCCTACTGCAGGCACTCACCAGTGAGTTTGTGTGCATGTGTAATTTTAAATGTATCCAATGTTGACATATATAAAAGCCTCTTCTCAAGAGTCTGTCACATTCTAGAACGATGGAGAAGCAAAGTCCAGGGGCTGGGCTATGCCAATGAAGAGGAGGGGCCATGCAGATTAGGAACAAGCTTGAATCTCAATGGCTCTAGTCAATGGAGCCATTAGAGTAAGATTTAGGGGCTTTCCCATGGGACGCGGGTGGCGCTGTGGGTTAAACCACAGAGCCTAGGACTTGCCGATCAGAAGGTTGGCGGTTCGAATCCCCGTGACGGGGTGAGCTCCCGTTGCTCGGTCCCTGCTCCTGCCAACCTAGCAGTTCGAAAGCATGTCAAAGTGCAAGTAGATAAATAGGTACCACTCAGGTGGGAAGGTAAACGGCGTTTCCGTGCGCTGCTCTGGTTCTCCAGAAGTGGCTTAGTCATGCTGGCCACATGACCCGGAAGCTGTACGCCGGCTCCCTCGGCCATTAAAGCGAGATGAGCACCGCAACCCCAGAGTCGGTCACGACTGGACCTAATGGTCAGGGGTCCCTTTACCCTTTACCTTACCACCCCCATGATTTTGGAATACTTGTTTTTGCTTTGATCCATAAGTTTAGCAATGCTTCCACATCTGCCCCTAGTACAGTATATTTGAGGTAATTTAGTAGTCATTAAAAAAAATCATTTTATATTAGGGATCCTGTTATTTCTAAAATAAGATTACAGATTGTAATGTAGATCAATGTATGTGAATTACTGGAAAGTTGCAGAACATAAGGAACCTGCTGCACCTTCCAACAGATTTCCCATGTTGCTGGGTATATTCTTCTGAGTCAATGGAGAGTAAGATGCCACTGATACTGATTTTTTTTTAATTCTTCAATTCTACTTATTTAAAAATATTATTTGACCCCCCAAACCATTCCCACTCCTCCATGCCAAACCCTTGTTGTAGATTCACAGGAATTGGAGACTTCAGATGACCCTATGAAACTTAGGTTGCAACCCTATACTCACTTGCCTGGGAGTAAGCCCTGTGAATCAATAGGACTTCTGTTAATGTTTCTATTTATTTTCCTTTTTAAAAATGGCATCCTTCCGTATGCATCCATTTTCAATTTCTCCTAGGAAGTGGTTTATCTGACAGCCTGTACTTGCTCACAGCAGCCGCCTTGTTTAAAAAAAGTTAAATGTAGTCTTTAGCTAAAAATACGAAACCTGAAAGCTGCCGGATTGATTAGTTTGCTCACTGAGGCTGTCTGGGTGTTACGATAATTCCTTAAGCAGAAGTGCTGAACTCGATGCTTTTTCCTCGGTCTGAATTCCCCCTCCCTTGTTGCACATCAACACTTTCAATGACTGCAAGGGTAATTGTGTCTTTGTTTGCCAGGAACATTAAAATTGTTATGGTTCTTGTAGGAAATGTGCCTGGACTACTTAACTAAATGACATTTCGCAGCAAACTCTCCCGTTGCAGATACTGCAGGTAAGAGTTAGTGGTGTGGGGATGATTAACCCTTCATGCACTCTAACAAAGCAAACAGGTAAATATTTAGAAGGCTGATAATGCCCTACGTCCTTTGCCCCTTAATAAAAGGAAGAACCTGGTTCGAAATAGCAAATGCTGCTTACAGCAAGGAGGACTATAAAATATTCTCTTTTTTTAATAAGATATTTATTAGGTTTTTTAAAATATTACAGTAAAAATGAAAAAGAAAAGAGAAAAATACAAAATAAAAACAATGAAAAAACACACATATTTCCAGTTACTTATTTTCCTTTAGCTTGTTTCCGGGACCTCCTCGTACCTCCCTTTTTTGTATTCCACTTCAATTTATTGGTTCAGCAAATCCTTACCATTAGATTTTAACCCATTTATAACCCTTTTTTCATATTCTCTTAAAGCATTACAGCTAGAAACCACTTAGTTACTATCCAACATCATTCTATCATTCATTAATTTTACAATATTTCTGTAAGTAGTCTTTAAATTTCTTCCAATCTTCTTCCACCGACTCTTCTCCCTGGTCTCGGATTCTGCCAGTCATTTCTGCCAATTCCATATAGTCCATCACCTTCATCTGCCATTCTTCCAAAGTGGGTAGATCTTGTGTCTTCCAATACTTTGCAATGAGTATTCTTGCTGCTGTTGTAGCATACATAAAAAAAGTTCTGTCCTTCTTTGGCACCAATTGGCCGACAATGCCCAGAAGAAAGGCCTCTGGTTTCTTCAAGAAGGTATATTTAAATACCTTTTTCAGTTCATTATATATCATTTCCCAGAAAGCCTTAATCCTTGGGCACGTCCACCAAAGGTGAAAGAATGTACCTTCAGTTTCTTTACATTTCCAGCATTTATTGTTGGGCAAATGATAGATTTTTGCAAGCTTGACTGGGGTCATGTACCACCTGTATATCATTTT